CCAACCTTAATGATTCTATGATTCTACCCCTGCCTCTCCGCTTGGCCATCGTGGTGAGGGTTCCCTGCCCGGCCGCGGTGAGTTTCTGCTCTATCCCCTGCGCCGGTGGGCGAGCTTGCCCAGTGATGGGTGCAGATAATCCCCCGGGGAGGGGCTCCTGGACACATCCTTCCTGCAGCCTCCGTGTCTCATGACGCCGGGCAGGACTTGCCGCACAGGATGCAGCTTGGATCACCAGCTTCCGGCACCTGGTGGTCCCCAGTGTCCAGCTGTAGGAAGCAGGCTTTGGAAGAGACACTCATTCTCCTCTTTTTAAAGTGTCTTTCCAGGCTGTAGGACCTGGTGTGGTCGTGCCTGGAGTCGCAGGGTGAGCGCTGGCTCCGGGAAGGAACGAGAGCATCACCTTTGGTTTGCCATTGTACCCTGAGTCAACCAGAGCTTCAAAATGGAGCTGGGAAGACCCTTGAGTGAGCACCCCAAAGAAACGTGGAGGGGCTTTACACTCAGAAAGCTGAGGTTTTAACAGAAGAAAAACTAGAATGTTTCATATTGTAAACGGAGAAGACTCAAAGTGACTGGGTAGAACAGAAGATAAGAGGGGAAATCTTATTCCTAACCCTCCCGCCGCCTCCTTGGGGACAGTTTTCAGGCACTCGGTGATGCCCAGGTGATGCTCAGCCACCTCTCTCCTGCTTTGGCAGCCCAGCTGCTTCTGCAGCGCAGAGCCTGGGCTTTCCCGAGCAGCACGATGACCTGTGCTGTGTTTTCCAGCACAGCTGGGTGTGCTCACTTATCTGCTGAAACCCCATTTCCAAGCGTGGGGCTTGTTCTGCCCAGCTCCTTCCTCCCCACGCTGGCACCATTGCTGGCAAAGGTTGCACCTGAGGTGTCCCCCAAGCTTCCCTCCTCCTCCTCTTGCAGAATCAAGAGGATGATGCTCCTTATTTTTTTATGTAAACAAGCAAATTCTCCAGAGCCCATTCAAATGAAAAGGGAACTTGGGCCAGCAGTGGGGCTTTCCAGCACTCGTCTGTTAATGACTGCACATCAGCCTTTCCCTTCCCAAAAAGTAAAAGAATAAACATCCAAGGGTCTCCAGGGAGTCGTGGATCATCTGGCTGCAATAGTGATGGCTTGAAAACCTGAGAAAGGGGAAGCAGAGCATTCCAGGCCAGATCTTCTGCCAGATAAGCAAGCACAACTCTGCAGAAGCAGGCCCCCCACTAGTATTTTTACTTCTCAAGGTCCTCTCCATCCAGAGCAATCTCTTCCCTCTTCCCTGACCCTGGCTGCTGGGTGCCCCTGTACTTGCTCAGCCACCAGCACTATGTGCCGCCCTGGCTGCCCACCCAAAGCATCCCCCATCGCTGAGGAGTGGTCAGGTGAAGCCCCAGGCCATAGGCTTGCAGCAAGACCATGCCTATCCATCCCCAAAATCCTTCTGCGTTGATCAGGGTCCAGCCCCGGGATGGTGGCTTTGCCTCAGGCATGGTTAGGGCAGGCTGTGCGCTGCCTTGGTCCGTGGCTGCAGGGGAGCCTGTGTTCCCCCAGCTTGAGGACATCTGCCATGGGTATGACGGCATCATGCCACCTGCGCTTGGTGGCCCTGGTCCTGCGCACACCACCGGCAAGACAAAAATGCATCGGGAACAGCAATATGGCCCATGTCCCCAGCTCGGCATTGCCAGTTTGGCTGCAGCTTGCAGAGTGACGTGGTCTCCAAAAGGCTGTCTGCTGGGACGGTCTCCATGGGATGGGAGGCTACTCTGGGCCATGGCTGCTGGGACCAGGTTTGGGGATAGGCTCCTGGAGAGGCACGCGAGTCTGCGAGAAGGGAGCCTGGGGCAGAGCAGAGGAGGGGAAGTGGCCAAGAAGGGAAGGGAAGACCCACAAAGCTGTAGGAGAAAGGAAAGATGGTTTTGGGGATCAGCAGGAGGGAACAAGTTTATTACAGGCCAGGGAGACACTGGGTCGCTGGGCCGAACACGTGCAGGAAGGAACGGCACTGCCCGTAGGGGCTGTGGGACCTGTTTAGAAATGCTTTATTTTTAGTCCTCTGGTGGCTACACAGCATGGGTGGCCTCATGCCAGCTCCTCCTGGGCCAAGTCATGCTTTTGAGACATAAGGATTCCATCTCTCCGCAGGAGCTGAGCCAAAGCACAGCAGCTACAGAGGTCTGCATGTGTATTTTAGTCATTTCTACTAGGTTGGGAAGAGCCTCGGCGTACCCCGCCTGGGCTCCTTGAGCCTTCAGCAGCAGATGGGTCTCCTACTGCAGCTGGGGTTCAGGAGATCTGGGCATGACCAGAGCAGTTCTCAGCATTGGGTGGTTTTCCCCCAAATTTTTTAAAAGGCACCCAGGGATGAGACAGTCCCAGGCATAATGTCCTTCTCCAGAGGGGCAGAGGGTGGCTGGGGGGTGCCAATGTGAAGAAGGGCTTGAGGTGGCCCCTTGGGTAGCTCACGGTGGATGAGGGGGGACCGTAGTGTCCTGGGGATCTGCATGGGACCCTGCTGCTCCATGCATCCACTTACAGCCTGGAAAAAAAGAGGGAATGGGGAAATAAGCTTCAGAGCAGGGGCTGTGCATGACTGGCAAGGACCTGCAGAAGGGTCTGGTGGTCTGAGTGGCCGGGTGAGGAAGGGGGAGTTGAACAGTGTCCCCAGGTTAAGACAGAGAGGCTGACCCCCGTTCTGCAGGTCCCTGCAGGATCTCGGAGGCTTCAAGGTGGCGAAAGGAGGAAGGTGTTGGAAAAACACCCAAGAACTTTGAACACCAACTTTTCCTTCCACTTCTCTCAGCCTGATTCAGGCTCCTGCCCTGCCCTGAAGCCAAGGGGCTAAGCCAGCCTCTGCAAGGGAGGGCTCAGCTGCACCCCCTTCTTCCCCCTTCACCCCACTATAGCTTCCCAGCTATAAACAGGGAATTTTGGTGGAAAACTTGTGTTCCTCGCCATAGGAACAGCATGGAATATGATGCAATTTCTGGCAGTATTTGACATCTTGCAGCTTTCGAGCTGCAAAGGGCCGGTGGCAGCAGCAGTCACTGCGTTTCTGCTTAGTGCTTCCCGGGAAGTCCACAAGCCATCCAACCGTCTCCAGCACGTTTGTGTTGGCTCTGGGGCTGAAAAGTGACTTTGCACGGAAAGCTGGGCTTTGCATTTCCTATTGCTGCAAATCCCCTCTCCATGGGTTTGGGAGCCCTCCGTGGAGGAGGATTTCACTTCCCTCGTGGACCCTGCGGCTTTCCCACAGACCCGTCTCGACGAACGCAGAAGTTGCCGAAGTCTGTTCAGTCTTTCTAGTTATCATCTTGGTCGGTCACCCTCAAGATCCCACGTGACATGGAAATCCCCTCAGCCAAAGAAAACATACAGGTCTTTCGCTTGAATTTGGTCAAAATTCTTTGGAAAAGGGCTAATGTAGGGAGGGGGTGGAGAGGATAAATTGCAGCTCCTCCTCGCCTGAGCTCACAGTTGAGCTCCTCCAAAGACGCAGAGCAGCACCCTGCGAGGAAGAGCCCTCACACAGCCACCATGCTCGCTGCAAGGACGGTCCCGCTGCTCGCCCTGCTCCTCACCCTCTCCCCACGCTGCGATGCAGGTGAGGCACCTCCCGGGCCACCGCTGCGGGTCGGGGCTGGGGGTCGTCCCGTTGGGGAGGTCAGGCAAGAAACGCCAGCGTGGAGCGGGGACGGTGCTGCTGGCAGGAGGAGCAACCCCCTGGTCGGGGCAGGGCGGCACGTCCCGGGGCGCAGGGTGACTTCGGCAAAGCCGGCTGCAGGGCTGTGGGTGCCGGATGATAACCTGGAGCATCCTCCTGCCCCGGGAAGGAAGGAGGCACCTGGGGCTCCTCATGGCAGCAGAAGCTGGGGGATGTTGTGTGCATCAGCCCTGTCGTGGGAGAAGGTCTTAAAGACTGCTTTCCAAAGCCAGCGTTCACTGTCTCTCTTTGTCTTCTCCAGCCCCTTACGCACCGTCGGAGTGCTGCTTCAGTTACACAAAGTCCGCTTTCCGGCTGGCTAACCTGAAGAGTTTCTACAAAACTCCCAAGGAGTGTTTTTCCCCAGCAATTGTGTAAGTCCTGGTGATTTCCCCACTGCTGTGCTGCCTCCTGGGCCACCACAGGTCCAGTTCATCCATCCCATCTGGGGTCAGGACCGGGCCAGGTCTGCGTGGCCTCCACAAGTGGCTGTCTTCCAGCATGAAGAGGGGAGGACATGACTGTCTGGCCACTTCGACAGGGCAGAGTTAAGGACACAAGTCCATCACAGCTCCTGAAGGCTCTGCACAGGCTCTGGAGGCACTGGGCTGCAGGATGAGCTGCTTGTAGGACACCAAGTACCCAGGGGCAGCGTGCGGGGCCAAAGGGAAAGGAGTGCAGGGAAGGGAGGATGGCATGGGCACGAGTGGGCTTGGAGCTGTCGTTTCTCACCAAGCTTCACCTTTCATCTTGGCAGGTTTGAGACCAGGAACGGGACCAAGGTCTGCGCAAACCCAGAGATGACCTGGGTGGAGAGAGCAGTTGAGAGGCTTCAAAAACGGAACGGACTTCGTGCCCCGTGAGGTAGAGCGGGTGCCCTGGTTCAGGCTACGCAACATCCTGGTGGGAAGGAAGGTTTATAGTCATCCTCCTGGAAAGGTCTGTGGAGGTCCCTGATGCTGAGGGATGGCACCGACTCCCTAGAGCCCTGCGCCACATCGACCAGCTGGGCACCAGCTCCTGGGGTGCTGCCGGCCCTGCCCTGCCAGCACCTGCCTGCCGAGCACAGCCGCAAAATAAAAGTTTACTTCACCTGAGAGTGGTGTCCTTTCTTCTCCCAGCCCCGGCAACTTGCTGCTGCCGGCTGGTCCAGGCACGGAGCCGGCCAAGGGGCTGGGGTGGGATGGGGGCTCTTCCCACTGCCTCCCGAAACTTCATGGGTCCCCCTGGGGCAGGCAGGGAGGGGGACGGGAGGGTGCTGCATGGATGCTCTGGGCGTTTGGGTACTCACTTCGAGGGGACCCAAAAGGGGCTGAAGACTGCTCTGAGGGCTTCTAGGTGCAAAACTGCCATTGGTTTTGGGCTTAGAGCTTTCAGCTTGCCCCTTGGGTTGCCCCGTGCGTGCCAGGCAGGAGCACAGCCCGGCTGCCACGTCTTCCCCGGGACTTCGGCGTATCCGAGCTGTGCTGCAGAGGAAGGATTTCTCTGCAGAGCTCCCTGGGCAGGTAGAACATTCAGGGGATGCCGAAGCAGAGAAGGGGTTCACCCACGTACAGGCGTGGAAATCCCCTCCCCGCCAGGGGCCATGGGGAGCTCACCAGTGATCCCTGCCAGGGTTTTGGGATGGGGAGGAGAATCGGAAGGGCAAAAGTGAGAAAACTCGTGGGTTTGAGATAAAGACCGTTTAATAGGTAAAGCAAAAGCTGCGCACACAAGCAGAGCAAAATAAGGGATTCATTCACTCCTTCCCATTGGCAGGCAGGTGTTCAGCCATCTCCAGGAAAGCAGGGAACCATCACATTTAACGGTTAATTTAGAAGAACAAC